CAGTTAACGGAAAGAAAAAACAAAAAAACAACAACACCAAAACATCAAAACATCACATGTACAAGGAAAGGTTCAACACCCTCATCTGAGTCCTATAGTTCACATATATATATCAGTTGGTTCTTGGTTTTAAACCTATACCCCATGCAGAATTTACAAATTGCATTTATACAAGAGATAGTCTACATCAGGGTTTGACATTTAAAACATGAAAACAGTTATTTTCTCTGAGCTCCTTCAAGGATGCAGCATATCCCTGTCCTCTGGTTTGAGCTCCTGTCTCACCCTCCTTGTTCAGTCTGTTCTTCTCTGCAGCATCGAGCTGCTCTGAGCCAGATGTCCACTGCTCTCCGCCTGAATACAGCCTGACCAACCCCCAGGGCCACCGTAGTGCCTGACATGTACAGGTTAATGACAGTGAAATGGGTACAGTGAATGATATACATACGGGAACGTCCATTGGAAAAGAACTCGCACATAGTCCACACAGCGCAGACCAGGTACAGGACTCCCTGTAGGATGCCAGTGACGGTGACCCTCACCTGGCNTGGATTCATTACAAATCAACTGAAATATTGCAAGCCTTTTATTATTTTAATATTGCTGATTATGGCATACAGCTTAAGAAAACTCAAAAATCCTATCTCTGAGATAGGATTTTTGAGTTTTCTTAAGCTGTATGCCATAATCAGCAATATTAAAATAATAAAAGGCTTGCAATATTTCAGTTGATTTGTAATGAATCCAGAATGTATGACATTTTTGTTTTTTTAATTGCATTACAGAAAATAAAGAACTTTATCACAATATTCTAATTTTCTGAGACAGTCCTGTATATATGTGAACTATAGGACTCAGATGAGGGTGTTGAACCTTTCCTTGTACATGTGATGTTTTGATGTTTTGGTGTTGTTGTTTTTTTGTTTTGTTTCTTTCCGTTAACTGTCAAGTGGGAACTAAGTTTTGTTTTCTTTGTGCGTTTTTTTGTTTCTCTTATTTTCCTACGATACTGTTATGATTGGCTGTGAATAAAAAAATATGAAGGACAGACCATCTATTTTTTTTTTTTTTACATGTGCAATGTAGCAAGACATCGTCCCAAACGACGACAGTCTTTGTGCTGTAAACAAAGTCTGTCCAGTAAATACAAACCATGTCAATGTATTTATATTATTTTTAGCTCACTGTATTTAATATTTGTGAATACTTTGATAAAATATGTGTAGTTCTAGTTCTAGTTATACCTCAGATGTCCATGAGGTATTATATTTTAGTTTTTGTGAAATACAGTAATATTATTATAATATGTTTTATGTTTTAATCCCTGTACATGCTTGATTTCTGATATATGGATATATTAAGCAGCTGTAAGACTGGGGTTCAGCTAATATATCAAATGCAAAATAAAAACCTGTGTTTGTTTCAGCAATTTAGTTATTATTGCCATCATGATTCTTCAAACATGTCTATGTTCATCCTACTATGTATTTTTAGAAGAGATTAATGGGCCCTGGTTTTAGTAAAGTTGCCTAGTGGACGTTTTTGTCCAGAGGAATGTCTTTCACATTACTACAACCCTCCTATATTTATAAATCAAACGTCTATAAACATAAAAAAGGATTATGATATACTACAAGGTAATTGCATACAAATAAAGGTAAATGTTTATTAATGTATTTGTCAAAAACCATGATTCCTAATGTGAGCCCCCATATGTAAAGGCTGATGTTTGAACAGATAATGAAGGACAATATAGAAATAACAAAGTTGTTGTATTAATATGAAATAACAAGCCATCATTGGAGAAGTAACATGACTGATGACTAGTATTGTACATTAATGGACACTTTGAAATGTCATTCATCTACAAAACAAGACATAAACAAGATAAATCATAATTTATAAATCATAATCAAGCTGCATAAGCTGCACAGCACATAATGATCACTCCTTACTCAGATTGATCCCATCCAGAGATGGCAAAAGTACACACATCCTTTACTCAAGTAGAAGTACAGATACTCGTGTTTAAAAATACTCAGGTAAAATATATTTATATCAGGGGGGACCCTTATCAAAAAAGTAACATTTTTAAAAGGGGGATCCTTATTATTTTTGAAGAGTGAAGGAATTATTATTGAGCAACACAACAGGATAATTAAGGCTTCCCCAATCAATAAAATCTGATGAAACATCTAATGTAAAAGCCAGAAGCCCTTAGAATCAACTGCAATAATGACATATGCATAAATATTCATTTATTGGCTAAACCCTAACTCCATCGGCGTTTCACAAAGATTCAGTCAAGATTTGATTTCCTTAACACACAAAACTAAAATAGTTATGGAAAATATATGATGTGAAGTTAATGCTTATTATTTGCTCCATAGTGTCATAGTGTGTTAATGCCGGTTATCTGTGTTCATTTGCAGATAGTAAATATATATCCCTCACCTGTTGCCAATTACATTTAGGCACTTACAGGGAATAAAGTTGTTACCTTCATGATTTGTTGGAAATATTGCATTATGAGGTGTTTGCATCTATGGTCATTCGGCCAACATGTCTGATCCACATCTCTCCTCCTCATTATTTGTAGTTCAAATCATTTCTGTATTGTATATTGAATGAACCTATAACTATAAGCTCTCTTTTAGTCTATACATTATGCTCTTCCAAAGCCACTCAGAAGGAGGCACTACATTTGCCCGATTTAGATGATGTAATGTTCTGCCTCATTTTTATCAAAAATAAACTCTAATGTTTGAATCATCCTGCTTTGAAAAACAAACATTGTAAATAAAATCCCAAAATGTCAAGGTTATTCCAATCATCAACACATAAAATAAACACATGGAGTAATTTCCTTAATCCTTTTTAGGCAATTTCTCACAAATGTGCTTTATTTACATCTGCCTTTGCATGGTATGCAAAGTGCTCAGATTGGTCTCATTGCATAGGCCTACGGCTGCTTTGCAGGCTTTATTTGTGAGCTCACTTCAAAGGAAAGAGACATTAACACGGAAACAGCAAACAGATTAAAGATGAACCACCTTGCATTTCTCCTAATTAATGGAACTCTTGTTTTTCTAAATGCCCTGGCTAATGCGTTTTATGTGTTTTGCATTGGCTGTCCACTTAACGGAAAAAGGATCAAACAACCTCTGCAGCTTCTCCTGGGGACCTTGATTGGCTGTTCAATAACATACCTGATGTCATTTATGGTGATGGTCTTTTCTCGTCAAGCTGAAAGTTGGAGAGTCTCTCGGATCTCAAATGTGGTGGCGGTCTGCAGTCTGTCCAATAGTATAACATCCTCTGTTTGGCTGAACTTCTTCTACTACACCCAGATTGTACCTGCGCAGAGTGCTCTCTCCATCTGGATTAAGAAGAATGTCAAATCCATCATCTACTGCTTTTGGCTTGTTGAGAGGATTTACACTGTGTTCGATTTTACAACCTTATATTTGGGCCATTCGTTTTATAGATTTGGATCGAGCAATTCCACAATGGATCATGACACTGTGGTTTCTTCCTTGAAATGGCTCAAATATGTATTCCTCATTGTGGTTCGGATTCTGAAGATCCACTTATTTTTCTGTCTGTGTGTGATGTTGATGTCGAGTCTTTGTACTGTAGTCTACCTGTGTGGACACATGCGTCGTATGGTAGCAAACGGACAGCCAGTGTCCCATCCACGGTTACGCAGCCAGGTGAGGGTCACCGTCACTGGCATCCTACAGGGAGTCCTGTACCTGATCTGCGCTGTGTGGACTATGTGCGAGTTTTTTCCCTTTGTGTTCATCGATCCAACCACACATTTCACTGTCATTAACCTGTACATGTCAGGCACTACGGTGGCCCTGGGAGTTGGTCAGGCTGTATTCAGGCAGAGAGCAGCGGATATCTGGCTCAGAGCAGCTCGATGCTGCAGAGAACAACAGACTTAACAAGGAGGGTGAG